CCCTGATATTGATACTTTCCTCAAAATCAGTTTATCAATTAAACCAATCACCAGTACTTAGAGAAATAATCACTTCTGATGTATCCAAGAAGTATGTGCTTGAGAATTTTACTACATTCTATCTGTTGGGTCCTCAAAATGTATCTTTTGGTAAAGTCTAGACAAAAACAAATGTTTCCCCCCTATTCCCCAATAAAAGCAAAAAAACAAGTCAAAAAATGACTCTGATAAATAAGGAGTCAATGAGACGTCTTTAAAGCACAAGCATACAAACTGAAGCCTTTACAGAAAGTTTAGTGACTGAACTCTTTACAACAGCTAGTATTCTCTACAAGTAATTGGATGCTTAACTTACTTTACTAAGACCAACATTGTGGTATTTCTTTTCCATTATCTTCTTCACTGGTTCCTCTTCCTTAAAGGTAATAAAGCAGAATCCACGCCTCTTATTGGTCTTGTTGTCCATGGGGAGCTCTATGGATTCAACCTGATTATCAAAAAAAAAAAGTTTTAATACCTTAATTTGTAAGTTTAGTGGGAAAAATGCACAAAGAAAACATGCATTTGGCCCTCGTTCTATATTGTGTCTGTTTATTTTAATCTTTTAAAAAGTCTTCGAATTAGAATATGCACTCCACCTAAAAAGTTGTTAAACCTGTTTATACAAAGAGGTTCATAGGGTATTGACACTTGCTACCTAATTCAAGGGTCACACACTCAAATGCCGTCCCACCCACCAAGCACAAGCAGAAAGAAACAGTCAATCTTAAGAAAAACAAAATAAAACTGTGTTTGGGAGAAAATGGGGAATGGTGAGGATCACTGAAAACTGGAGAACGTATGAGCAACCAAAGGTGTAAGTTGCTACTCCATCTTAGATGGCTGTTGCCAGGCAAGAAGGCAGTTCCAATGTCACCTGCTCTTACAAATACTGAAGAAAAGCTAAATATACAGATTTTTGTGGGAAATATCTCAATTCCTAAACACTAACAACTAAACATGCAATATGTTCTGCTTGAATCAAACCAAGGGTGTCTGCAGGCTGTATCTGGGTCCAAAAGCCACAAATTTCTCAACCCAGCTTTAAATCATTAATTCATAAAAGGAATCTAAGTCTATAATTAGCCTCATAAAATTTGCACACACACATGTGCTTAAATTGAGAAGGCATTACACCCTACTATTAGTTTATTTCTTCCCTATTCTCAACTGAACCATTCCCTTCTACATCTCAGGTAATCCAACCTGAATTTCTTCCTCTTGTTTATAGCTTTCTACTAATCCAGTAAATTCCACAATAAGAAAATGTCTACTTCATCTTTGTGTACGGTATGCCCAAGGACGCTATGCATACAAGAGTTCCTCAAAAAACTAGAAAATGCAATCATCTAACCTTCAAAGACCTGCTAATAATGTATTTATACTGTCCTTATTTCAAAACAAATCACATAATCTGTCCAAACTTCAAAACAACTTTGGAAAACCCAGTAAAAAACCTATAATGTGACAATTATATTCACACTAATTTTAACAAAAACTAGGTCAAAATATTATCACATACCTCACCAAAACCACCAAAGTACTCCCTTATTTTCTCTTCAGGTGTATCTGGAGAAAGGCCACCAACAAAAATTTTTTTAACAGGCTCTTTTGTTTTCATGGCTTTGGCCCTCTTAGGATCAATCACCTTCCCATTCAATTTATGTTCCTTCTGATCCATGACCTAAGGAAATTGAAATTTTTCATTTGAAAGATGTATATCTTAAGTTCAGAAATTATTAACTTACTTAAAAATAATTATAGTTAAATAAATACAGCTAATGCCAGGCATATGTTGACCAGCTCACAATTAAACTGTCAATTGTGGTGATGTGATATTAGCGAATATATACCAATGTTTAAACCTAAAGGTCAGTAAGAATGAGGAGTTAATCAGTTACTAGACAACCACCATGCCTTTAACTATTAGCAATATAAGCATCACTGCTACTTCCCTGTAGCCTAAAGACTAAAATGTAAAATGATTCAGTCAGAAGTTTCTTGCCTAGCAAATTTCAAAATCTGTATTTCTGTGAACTTATCACAGCGTATCCTTCTAATTAGGCATCTTTAAGGTTTTTCAAATTAATTTTAATACAGTAGAGCCTGGCACACGGAAAGTTTTCAGTAAAAAATTCTTGAATCTGACTCTCTTCATAAAACATATTGGCAAGAGCTGTTATCTCTTCCTTCGTATGACTGCAAAAGGGGAAATCACAATAGGCAGATTAACTGTATCAAACTATTCACATATTTTACATTATTAACTGATTAGAACACATGGCACACTACCTTATCTACACTCTCCGACTCTTTAAATAGCACAAAGCCAAAACCCCTTGATCGCCCTGTGATAGGATCTAACTTCAGAGTGCAGTCTACGACTTCACCAAATTTGGAGAAGTAGTCCTTCAGATCTTTCTTTGTAGTGTCCCAGCTAAGGCCTCCTATAAACATTTTCCTGTAAAGACAAAAAGCAGTATTAAAATGCTAAAAAAAATTTTTTAATTTTGCCTTAAGTATCCACATCAATAATACTTCCCCAAAACTGCACCAATTTACTGGGCAGTGTATTAAAATGTCACTCTTCCTACATAACCACATATCAAGAACACCCTATTACAGTTATGGAAAGTTTTGTTTGTCACTACTGCGCCTGCATAATTACAAAATAGGGAGCAAGCAGCAGATTAAGTCTTTTGACTTGCCAAAAAGAGAAATGTATCCCCAAAGTAAAAATAGTATACACTGTCTTTCTTAAATTACAAGTTAAATACTGGTAACAGCAAAACAGAATTTCACCTTGAAATTTCTCTTCCAAATCTTTATTAAACTTATAAAAAGGCTATGAGGTCCCCATTAATCACAGTAACTAGCGTGTGTCTATGCTGAAGCTCCTTTCTTAACTGTTCTCTCATTAACAACTCTTAGCACATAAAATGGGAAAGTCTCACAATTAAGTTGTAAACCAAGTTTTTCGATGTGCTAAGAATCCTTAATAAAGACAAAAGTAATCACGTAAGCAATTTAATGAACAAAAAAATTACCCACTGAAGCACAATCCACTAATTAACCTAGATGATTTATTTCCAGTAGAACCTCAGTTAACCAGCAATAAAATATTTAAACCTTTAAAATGCTAAAAGTGACAGGTGGTAAGTGGAAACCACCAAGACACTTTAAAAACAAAAATGCATCCCCCCCCCAAAAAATATAATTTTAAGTGAAATCTTACTTTTATTACAGCAAAAGGCCATAACGCTCAGACCTGGCAGCTCTGTGATCCCTTTTACATCTGCCCCCTTTACCCACTCCCACAAAAGAGCTAACATATACCTCCCTCCTACCCTTTAAAGAGACAGGACTAGAGATTGTTACTTTAAGGATAAACTGTCAGAATTTGTTATGTGAGGGCTAAAAATCAATTTCACCATCGGAATAAAATCATGCTTGGTCAATGACTTCTATCTTTGCAACTGCAGCGGGTCAGGGGGAGGGGTGGCAATGGGGGTGTGGTGCTAACTTCCAGCTCTGAAAAGAAATTAAAGCAGGAACATCTCCATCTTGTGGGCTTTTTAGGATATCGCCACTAAAGCCAATTCTTGCAACAAGAGAACAAAGTCTATCCCTAGAAAAAGATCTTGCTTCTGCTTAACCTAAAGATGCCAGATTAACTGAGGTGTTACTGATCTTGCTATTTTTATCAGACTTGTTCTCACTTCTAATAAAGTTAACGCAAAAGAAGTCTTATTTTTAGGCATATAGTGTGCTTCCCATTTAGGTTAGGTTTTCAACTTGTACCTGTATTCTAGAGCTGGGCTATTTATATGCTTTACATTCAGGACATCTGCTAATAAAATTTCCATGCTTCAAGTAACTTTTATTAACTCTTTTTATATTTTATAATCAAATGAGCATAACAAAACACCCACAATATTGTATAGGTATTATTAATGTTTACTGCCAATTCCATGGGGAAAAAAAGTTGAGGTATTTTCTCAATTACATTTTCTTTCATATCCAGTGAAATAATATCCAGTCCAAGTTACTTAAATTGCCTTAAGCACCTTTATTTTTAACCTAACAATCCAGAGCACCTCCTTCATAGATGAAAGTACATTAACAACATTTACTCTTTCAAGGTGAAGAGAACACTACTATCTTTTTAAGGATGAGAAAGAAACGGACTTCAAGGTAATGACCTTGCTCAGATATTCATGGAAAGTTCTAGATAGAAACTTCAATTAAATCGAAATTTAACTATTAAATTACCACTTGCGATTATTACAGAAACTTTCCATCGATAATTTAACAGTCTGAAATTACTTCAAGCTGAAGAGAATAACAGAAGTCTTTTTTTAAAAAAAAACTAAAATTGAAAGGCAAGAAAATTCTGTGTCTGTTCAGTCTGTTCCTCAGAGACAGAACTAGTTTTGATTTTATTTAACCAAGGCAATATTTATATTGAGTTGTGTCAATTTAAAATTAACAAAAAATAATTACAAAGAAATAAATCAAGAATGAGGCACGTTCTTTAATTCACAAACCCCAAACTTTTTCTCAACATTGGGAGTCAGTTTTCTTAAATACTAGATAAGCATACTAATTCATCAACTGGCCCAGCAAGTGTTCTCTTACTGAAAGAAACTTTCCACGTTTAATAGTCTTGAGTAAAGAAGTTGTTCAATGTGTCTACCTTAGAGTTAAAAAAGGTCACCGAAGAGGCTATCCTTCTTAAACAATCAAATCCCATTTATCCAGAATATAAATGTCCTAGTCAACTATAATTTATACATCCGTAGAATGATTACTGTTTCTCAAAAAATTAGAGCAAAATATGTAGTAAAACTTCAGCTATCCAGCACCTTTAGAGAATGAGAAGCCAAATAGTCTACCTTCCTTCAAGCATTGCCTGCCTTCCTAATCTCTCTCAATTGTTTTTAACCTTCAATTACTTGGAATGATTTTTTTTTTCCTATGGCATATCACACACACTCTTTTCCCTTCCTAATCAAATAGAGTAATCATGATTTAACATTGAGTCAGTCACCACTAACACACTATGCTACTATAGCATGCCCGTAGGGTCTTCTGAACTTAGAGAACTATTTATTAATACACCAAGTGCATCTTATTTCTTAGCTCTTTTAACAAGTTCTAGTTTTCATTTTTGCCAGATTAATCAGCAGCTGCTATTCTAAAATGCTTCCCCCTCTTCCATTTTTTAGAAAGTTAGCCGGCACTCAAACTTTTCAAATTTGGGGTAAAGTAAAAGTAAACAGCCTCTGAGCAAGAGCCTAACTAGCTCTTTTTTGAGACAAATTCATTACGTTTTGGCAGCCCAAAAACACTCGTTTTCTTCTGCTCTAATAAGGAAGGGTGCTGCACAACTGATAACCTAACCAGACAGGTGGATATACTACAATGAACACATACTGTACCAAATCCATTCTATCTTTACTAAATCTAGCATATTAAATAAATACACCCCATTTTTACTCAGTAGACACACCAAAATATACATGTGTAACAAATAAGAAAAAGTGTGTTATCTTAATTCTGGATAAATGGGAACTTATTTTAGCCTCTCTAAAACACCAGCATTCTGACATGCTCTGCCTCAAATTATAAGATGGTATATATAAGATGGTTATCGATTTAAACTTTCTATATTTTATATTACTGTATCTTGCTTAAAACACAATACCTAGTGTCTGTCCAGACTACCTTTGCTGCCTTGAACACAAAGACTGACTTTCAAGTTGCTTTCACCCCTGCAGAGATGTGCAAAACACTTTACAATGAAGGAGCTGGGACTTCAGAAAAATCCTGAGCAGCCCAAGTTAAAACTACAGCACAGGACTTGTTCAAGTAGCAGAAATGGGCCCCTAATACTGCAATAGAAGCTTAAAATTTGATCCTTACTTGTAAGTGAATCAGTAATCCCAATTAAAGTATAGGACATTACCTACAGTATCAACGAAGTTTAATTTCTTAATCCTATCTGTAAAGTTATTTAGCACCCCAAAGGCAATATAGTATTCAACTTAAAACACCTACTCAACAATTGAAATATTCTTGCCTTATAGATACTGACATTATACCATACTATAATATTAAATGACAGGCACAAAGTTATACAACTCAGTGCAGATAACTCTCCAAATGAGAACTTAGGTTGCTTTGTGGGACACTCTCCTCGAGAGGAAGTACATTTAGAGGCAGTAAGCCAAACTGCTTGGGGTTTAAATCCTTCCTCCAGAACTAAGAGCTTACCTCTATCTGCAGTGAGGATTTAACTGGCACAGAACATGGTCTAACACATCCCAAGTGCTCAACAGAAATAAATTGCTATTTAGTAGGGACAGAGCACAATCTAAATAAAGCAGTTTTTTCATTTACTCAATGGCTTAAAATTTTTTTTAATCTGCATGAGCTGTATGAAGTTTCCAACATTAAAGGGAAACGGCCAGGATGAGTTTTATATAAATGGATCCTAAGATTAGTTTTAATGCTAAAGACTTAACCCAGAAATTTTAAATATCCCATGTAAAAACTACAGACTGGAAATTAGGTTTTCTAAGCTCTTAAATAAAATGTAGTTCCAAAATCACACTGATGACTTGTCTGTACTCTACATAAATGCCAGTAACTTCAGTAAGGAATAATTTCAAAATATAAACAGCAATATATATGGAGCAGTGCTGGCTGGTGGAAACACTGTTTTTTCCCATCTAAGAACTTTACTCTCAATACTACTGAGGTCTCTAGGTTTAACACTCTACTCAACAGTAAGCATTTTTTATATAAAGACACTTGGCCCTACTACCCTACTCAAGGTAAATGATAAACACATCATTACACTTTTTCCCAATTTTGGAAAGGGAAAAAAAGGATTCTGTAACTTTTAAACACTTCCTAACAACTCATGGCGTTCCATATGTGTTTTCATAACAAATTCTGACAGTTTAAAAACTACAACAGCATGTCGATCTGATATACATTTCAAGTACACAACATAGCTGGCCAATCACTGTCACCTTTTAGAGTAATGTTACTCAAGCATACCACTAATCCTTATTTAAATAAAACTTCTGGTATTTTATCCTTAAAATTATTCCTTTACAATCCTAAAATGACATTAAGTATAGTGAAATCTCACCAATAGATAAGAAATGAGTATTTATTTTCCTTATAAAATATAGATTTAGTTTAAAATTAAAGCAGTAGTTAACCTAAAATGGGGAGGGGTTTACTTTTTTGCAACTAGGTAGTATCACACGGTATCATTTTACAATCTGTATAAAAAAATACTCTTGGAAACAGTTTGACAAACTTTTAACAAGTCAATAAAAATGATTAATTCCTCTAGGTAATATATTAGATCTCATTTCTTCATACTTTGAATGAACTTAAATGACTAAAAATGTGAGTTGAAACATAATAGCTAACAAACATGAC